AGAAACTCAGGCCCAGAGAGGGTTAGTAATTTGCCCTAGGGCACACAGCTGGTAAATTATACAGAGAGAATTTGAACTCTGGAGGATGGGCTCTAGAGCTCTATAGCCTCTTGCCATGTTACTCAAAATCATACAGCTAGAAAGAGGTGAAACTGAACTTAAAACCTGGACCAGTCTGACTCCAAACCCCGCATACTCCTTGGTAAGAATAGCATGCATGTCTCAGAGTTCAATACGTGCCTGTTCTAAGCACTGCACTTACATTACTTTATTTATCCTCTTTTGGTGGTTCAGTGGTAGAGTTTTCACTTTCCATTTGGGAGACCAGGGTTTGACCCTTAGTCAATGCCCCTCATGTGCGACCACTGCCCATCTGACCATAGAGGCTTGGGTGTTGCTCTGAGGCTGAATTGGTTTCAACAGAGCTTCCAGACTAAGACAGACTAGGAATAAAAGTCTGGTGGTCTACTTCCAAAAATCAGCGAGTGAAAATCCTATGGATCCCCAACTGATCATGGACATGGTGCATTTCGTTCCTTTGTGCATGAGGTCACCATGAGTTGGGGCTAACCACTACTACTACAACATTTTGCGTATGAGGAAACTGAGGCATAGAGGTAAAATAACTTGGCCAAGACCTGAAGCTAGTAAAAGGGAGAGGAAGGATTTGAATCCACACTCCTTATTGCCTCCCTTGGAGCCTGTCCTCTCAGCTGCTTACCCAGAATCTGTTACGATATGAATAAAAACCAAGGTGCTGCAATTTTCCATCATCCTCATTGGCTTCTAGAGTCACAGGTACATTTTCTATCTGTGCAAAGTCTAAGAAGCTTCCAGTCACTGGTTACGTTGTGTTTACTTTGCTGAACTGTTTGCTCTGAGGGAACAGAAGCGGACAGTGACAGTCACTGGGCAGGTCTTTCATGGGTCTAGGGCCCTTGGCTGATCTCCTGTCCCATAGGAAGATGAAAACATCCAGGACATGGGCTTGGAAGGCATCGGCAAAGCTGTTTCTTCTCTACGCTGAGCTGGCTTCTCTCAGTTTGCCTGGCTCCAGGTGAGTGACAGTTACAAATGACTCCCCGATCAATAATATGACAGAGAATATAATGCCACATAATGCTGACCATCTCTTTGTTGTGTGCCTATTGAAAGAGGAATATCTTTTGAAGAAATTTGCATGCATCTGATAAAATAATACCAACAACTCTCTTCAAATTATTGAGGAACCAAGCGGCTGACTTCAACAAAAGTTCCTTAAGAAAGTGACATGTTTAAATCTATTTTGTCATCTGAGAAAAATAGGATATTTGTTCTGTATTCTGAACAAAGCCACGGTATGATTCTTTATGCAAAAGGTTTGTTATGTATGCAAAATAAGAGCCAATTCATGTCAGTGATTTTAATATATGAGTGACCCACTGTATGAGCTCATCAATCTAAATACTTTAGGTTCTCACATTTTCTCTCTCTCACACAACACACTCCATATGTTCCCAGAAGTTAAATGCTAATGGATTTATTTCATTATATTAGTTTCCTAGGGCTGCTGGAACAAAATATCACGAACTGGGTGGCTTTAAATGACAGGAATTTATTCACTCACAGTTCTGAAGGCTGGAAGTCCAAAATCAAGGTGTTGGTATGATTGGCTCCTAATGGAGGCTTGGAGGGAGAATCTGTTCCATGCCTCCCTCCTAGCTCCCAGTGATTTTTGGCAATCCTTGGTATTCCTTTACTTGTGGCTGTGTCACTCC